TTTCAAACCAACACAAATAAATATAATGAGAATAAGTGATGTTTATTCATTTCCCCTTTAGATTTTTGTATAACGCAGCCACCATCAAAAAGTTGAATAAAATACAATTCAAGAACTGTAATTGAACTGAGGTAGAAGCAATACTTTTTTCACTTCTGAAATATAAGAATATAACATTTTTGTCTTATGTAAATCCATATAAAAGAAAAAGTGCACATTAATGGTGATAACATTGTTATCTCTTTTGAAATAAAATAACAACATATCTGACACAGAAACATCAAAAGTAGCATTATAAACTTCTTCTAAATAAACAGAACCTGAAGTAGTAGAATGCTGTTTTTCATAAACAAATATTAAACGAAATAAAAAGAATATTTTTGCACAAAACTTTTGTCCCTTTTTGAAATGAAATGAAATGAAAGTAACATTCTGGTAAAATAAAACAACTTGTCTGTCCAGGAAAACGACGGTTTTCATCGGCAACTTCTTCGTTTACGGGGTTGAAGAGACATGTACTTCTTGAGATGCTAACATGGTTTATATCAGTAACTTTGTAAAAGTAACTTTTGAAACAAAAAACAACACGCTGCATTGTGGGTTACGTGGAGTGTTGCATTCACTGTCTGAAGTACTGTATGGATTTCGAGTTATTCTCGCAAAATGTGTTTGTTTTTTTCTTCTTCTTTCTTTTTTTTTGTCTGAACCACGAGCACAATAAGATCAGGCACAAGTTAAACATTTACAAATAAAATAAGGCCACATATATTAGCTCTCATCTCCACCATAAGCACTTGTAAGTCAAAGGGCTTATAAATCACAAGACAACTGCAATATGATTTGGGAAAAAGCAATGTTGTTTCTTATCTGCCTTAGATTACTACAGTAACATGAGCTATTAAAACCTATTCATTCTAAATGTCACAAATACTCTGACGAGAAACTGATTTAGTATGACACTTTATGATGATCAACAATGTAAATTACATCTGCTGCCCTTCAGTACCTCTTTTGCAGCCTCTGACTCAGAAACCTCTGTGGTAGGCCTGGGTATGACTTGGCTGGATGTACGTCTGCCTATGGGAGTCCCATGTTCTATTCGACTGGAGTGGTCATTGTCACTTGAAGAAAGTGATGTGTTTGTATCCTGAGGGAGGTTGATGTGGATGATCTAAAGGAGAGAAGTCTAAAAGAAAATAAAAACTGTGACATGCCTGAAATGTAGCATTTGGTGCTTTCCCAGACACAGGTTAAAAATCATCATCAAATCAAACCTGATCCCACATTTCCAAACTGTTTTTGCAATTAGATACAGATCTTTTTAAAATATAATTTTTGATAATGTAATTTGTTATAGTAGCCAAGGCAGAGACATGACATCTCAAATGATATTGTGAAGCAGAAAAACCTGAACATTGATTACAACTAATTTTATACTGAGACAACCTTCCTCTGAAATTCCATCTTGTGTTGTTGGACTTGGACCAGGATCAAGCTGTATCTCAAGAATGATGTTTTCCTCCAGTGTCTGAGCTGGGTAGTTAGGGTTAATAGATTCATTTGATCAGAATCAGGTTACAAAAAATAACTCACACTTTCAAATATGATAAGAAGAAAATACAGTTAGATTATAAAGCAACACTTAAATTTTAAAACACAGCTATTGTCAAGACATGAAATAGTATATAGATCTATGCCAGAGGTTCCTTTACCTAATGGTTATGATCATCTGTTCCAATGAATAAAGTAAGACACTCCCCACTTTTTACTGATGATGACTTAACCAAAATCTGATTTAACAACAATATCAATGATTTATGGATGACAGAGAAATGTATCTACCTGCATCAGGAATTCTGTCACGTACTGTCAGGCATAAATCCGGACTGGCCTCTATCAGTTCAGAAAAGATGTCTTCCTCGACTAATGTGTTGGTTTCATCAAAAGCATCAAGTTCCGGTAGCATCAGGAAGCCCAAACTTGTATTTGACTGTAAGATAACCATGAAAACAGATGTAAAATTGATACCCAAATTGAAAACCAAAATAGCCATCCTAAATACATAAATCCTTGTGTTTTATTGTTGTGAAGGCAACTTTGAGATGGCTATCACCTTGAGCAATGAAATCCAAAAAGGTGAACCCCAAAGCAATCGGATGTACTTCTTGGTATTCTGGTACTTCACCTTGAGCAACATTGCCCACTTTCTCTTTTCTCTTCTCTCACCCAATCTTCCGTTTTTTCTTTCTTTAGACTGCACCTTGTAGAATATGTGGAGAAATGTGGCTGTTAAACAGACTTCATCAGGTTTTTAATTTTGAGACTGAGATGGACGCATTGTGGTCCCTGGCCTGTAGCAGTGTTTCAGCCGCCCCTCGGTTTGGGCCCGCCACAGTCTTCACAGTAAAAAAAAAAAAAAAAAAAAAAAAAAGAAAAACTGCCGTCTCTCTCGCATGCAGTCGCACCACATGTGCACACACACATACACACACAGATATGGGTGCATGGGAGAGTCACGCTTGGCCGCTAGAAAACGGTAAATGCGATATATCACGCTAATTGTAGTGTTGAAACTAGAAAATTCCAGGGAAATTTTGAGTGCCACGGGGGCTACTGCCGGGATGAGTACATGATTTATTTCCAGTGTTCAAAAGTCACCCTGATCTATTTGTGTTAGAAATGTCTTGATATAAAAGACTGATATAAAACAATGTCACACTCCCTCCCATCATGTATATGTGGGAAATATCTCATATTCTGTGTTTTTTTTAATAAAAACAAGAGGCAACATGTCTTCAAACTTGGCATAAAGGGTTAAAATCCTGAAAACAATAAACATTTGGTAGGTTTGAGCAGAGCTGAAGTGGTTTAAGAGATGTATGCAAAAAAGGAGAAAAATATTGATATATGATGATTTTATAGCATTTTCTTTGTGTGTCCTTTTTTGACGCGAGGAACACCAGAGGGTACAAAATGTGTTACCAGTGTATAATAGACCTGTAACAGTAACTGACATTAGATTTTAAAAATATGTCAAAAAAAGACACTTTCTTGGCAAATCAATACCTTCAGCTGTAACACAGCCAAAATGATAAGCAAATCAAAAAAGAAAAGTGAAGAAAATGGTCCAAAAAAGGACAGAGGACCCCTGAGGGTTAATAAATCCCACTGAACCGCTATTTAAATTACCACTATTGTGGTGTTTTTTTCGGTGCTAAATTTAACATTACTGGGAGGAGAGCAACGCGACTAGAAGTGACCCAGAAGAGGGCTAGTAGCTTCTCTCTCTCTGTCTCAGCGGACCGTCACAACTCATTCACTCATTAACAAAAAAAAAGAAAAGCAACAAAGGAAGCAGTAAATGGACTCACATATTTAAGACCTAACTAAATGTAATTTAAGACCTAACATGCAGCTAATGTAAAGCTAGGCGAGCTTGGAGATTGGTTATCTGGTGCTAGGCACGCACACACGCACACAGGTCAGGAGCTGCCGTTGCCATGGCAATGTGAAAATCTGCCCAGAATTTGGCTTCTACATGGCTTCAAACTATTGCAAATTATGAGAAAAACGTTACTTCTTTTCAAAAAACCCGAAACACCGTGACAGACACTGAAGACCAGAAGTTTCTTTACAATCTCTATTTTATTCAGATATTCCTTAAAATGAGTGAGTAAGCTCAGTGCAAAGACAGAGTGAGATTCTTTTGAAAAAAAAAAGACGATTACCATTAGGTGTCAATGAATGAGAGTGAGACAGGTATTGCTGCCGGACTCGGCACCCCCGTTTAAATTTTGTGCAGACCCTGCCTGTCAAAGTTACATTTTATGAATCCCAACAACTATGTCTACATTTTCAGAAAGAATTATTTGTCTCCTTTTTACGGTTTGGCCGTGAGCTCGAGTTAAAAATAAAAATAAAGGTTATTTTTTACTTCTTCACGCACTCTAGCCAACTGACGCTGTCACTCTAACTTTGAAGAAAAAGTGATTTCCACTCCTCCTTTGAGTGCTCATAGTTTGAAAAGTTTACATGTTATGTAAAAACAGTTGTTGTGTTTTGGAGAGAGCAGAAGCTTTCCTCCGTTTTATAGTTTGAATCACATTTCTACATGCAGGTATGAGAGAGCTGGGTGACTCAGAAAAAAGGTGAAATTTTGTGGGTTTTTAAAGAAAATTCCAATGCATTCCTAATGCATTATTTATTCCCAGTATTTTGGGAATAACTTTGGGAAAAATTGGAATTTTAACACCAAAAGTCATAGCACCTCTTTCGGGATCAAGGCGCATGTTTTGATGCATATATTACCGGGGTTTTCTCAAAGCTGCGGGACGAGTTACGCGCCAAAATTTGGCGGAAGAATAATAATAAGCCTGAGGAATATTAATAGATGCCTCGGAGCTGAGCACCCGTGGCACTAATTACAGCCGAGTGAATGTTGTCCCTGCCTGATTAAACGGAGACGCCACCACCCCTCCCCCACATTATTGCACAGTTTTACATTCGACAAAAAACTCACCATCAACGTTAACATTAATCCACCTCACCTTAATACATTTAAAAACATTTATTTTATCGTAATACTTAATATTTGGCCGGATACGTTGCCACTGGATAACTTTTGTTTCAAGCAACCACTCCTTGCCAGCAAACGTGAATGAATTTAATTAACAGCCTGCCTCAACCAGCGTCAATAAAAACTCAGTTGTTTTACACCCCATGATTTTATCACGACTTCATACAGGGATTACCATCCGGTAGATGTAAATATATTCGGTTCTTACCTTCTTTAAGCCGTGTAACGTTCATCCACACAATCCACACAAGGTTTTTCTTTTCGTCAAGTGAAAAAGGCGGGCTGCGCACGTCCAAACCGGATGTTGTGATCAACTCCGCCAGGAGTGAGTGCAACTCAGTCACAGGTGTAAACATTTAACTCGCTTAATTGACAACGCTCGCAGAGCTTTATTATCACTACAAGTGTTAAAACAACACCAAAATCAACACCCACCGACTCGAAATTTATTAACACTGAAAAAACAACAATACAGATTTTGCTGTGTACAGCTCACGAGTAATAACCTCTACCTCTCCATTAACATTGAGCTGTGCGGTTTCCCAGTCAAAAACATTTCCTCTTGACACTGTCTTCCCGGAGTACATATCTTGGATGGTGCTGGCTGAGAGGACAGAGTCCCACATATTAATGTCACAGATCTCCCCAACAAAACTCTGTTTGGCGTCAAAATCCCCCAAGTAGCTATCTGGATCTTGTCCAATCAGAACCTTGCCGTTGGATCTGACAGAGTGACCCTTCTTGTAAATTTTGGTCAAGCTTTTCCTCCCATTCATAAATAAGGCAGCCGCACCTGAAGTGGAATCCCAGGTGAAACAAAGGTGGGTCTCTAGGGATCCGAGCTCAGGGACTGAGAAGAGAACACCCTCTCCAGCCAGGTAGAAGGACAATCTAAACACAGATATAAAAATCAGTGGTATGCATCTTTTAAAACAGAGTTTCATTGGGTTTAATATATATAAAATAAAAATACATCAGAGGAAATATGGAGCCTGGTAGGTGCCAGTTATTTTCCTTTAACATTACCTTGATTGTGTGATAACGTAAACTTCTATTTGATATACTAATACATAAATAAATGAACAATATTTTTTTTCATGAAAATAGTTAAATCTAAAAGAATATGGTTCCCAAATATAACATCTTAATCTTTAATACTATCTTAAATCCAGAATATCAGCATCTGTGTTGTTGGCCTTCAAAGTGATGATCATTTACAGTGTACCTGCCGTCCAGTTCACGCCACACATTCAGCTCATCATAGTCTGCAGTCCGGTAGGCAAACAGAATGATCTCTCGCTCCCCACTGAGCTCCGTGGCCACACGCATGCACAGGGTGAAGGCCCTCAGGCTCAAGGGCTTCAGAGGGACCATCTCAACAAAACTGGTACTCGTCTCAGTGGGAAACACCAAGGTCTTTGTGGTTGTACTCCCTAAGAGACAAGAGGTTTGTCAAGAGTTACAAAAAAAATCCTATTACAAGACCCCATGGTAATGTCTTTGTTTGTCCAAACAAAAGTCCAAAATCCAAAGATATACAGTTTACTGCTTGAAAAACATATTTAAATGATTCATCAGCTATAAAAGAAATAGTTGCTGATTAATTTTCTGTTTATCAACTCATTCATCATGTAGGTTGCAGCTCGTAATCGAGTTTATCTCACCTTTTGCTTTGCCAGACAACAATACCCTTATATTCAAAATATAAAATGTTCAACTTGTACACTCGCGCATGCACAGATATGGCACATAAGAACAACCTATAGGCAAAGAGCTATTCAGTTACCGGCCCAAACACCGTGGAGATGCAACCGAGAAAAAAACGGCTCGAAAATCTCATTTTGTCAAACCTGCAGAAAGACAGACAATGTATGCTTAACTCATTCCACTTTATCGACGGCATCAAGCTTTTTTGAAGTTGCAATAAAGAACTTTTCTTGCCCCCAAGTGGTAGTAATGATCGGTCGCACTGTGTCATTACCCGAGTGGTTCTATGCTAAACCTAACCTAACCTCTAACCCAAACCCGATAGAATTTAACTCATTTCGTTGCGGACTATAGTGTTACGCTGTTAGCAACCCATGGGCCTCTGTCGTATTCAGCCTACCTACTGTCAAAAGCAAGAAACTATTTTTGTTTAACTTATCATAGACAAAAGTTTTATAAACAAAAGATTCTCTATTGGGGCAGCGATTAGTAAATTCTAATAGCAGTTTTCAGTACTTTTTTTATGTGTGTGAAAGATTATGTAATATACTATCAAATTTAGAATGAAGCTGTAATACCTACCGTTGCTGCTGGGAAGGTCCTGCCTATAACTCAATCTAAACAGGGTTTTTTTTAATACTTATGAGCCCCCAAACTATTTCCTGTTACACACACACTGTATGTGCACATAATAAGTATAAAATCATTAATTTCATAATTCAAATCTTGCTTATGTACAGACTTGGTATGTGACAAATTGATTGTTGCGTTTAGACAAGATTGGGACCTTAACCCCAGTTCAGCAGTAGACAAAACTGACCTGGTATCTTATGCAGTGGCTCTTTACCGTGTTTTCAGTTAGATCGATCTTGCACACTCTGAAACTCTGACGCAGTAATTTGCTCTGTTGAATCTAAACCTGCCTCACTTACAAGGTTTTCTATCAACAAACCCTAAGTGTCTCTCCCCTTCCGGCAAGCCTTGAAGAAGCTGTCGACACAATACTTCCATTTCCTCATTCATACAAGTCGATATCAAAGCGCAACACTTAAAAGTC